GTGAATGATCTTTTACAGGTGTCTCTTTGTAGGTGGGACAAAAGGTGAAATTCTCTACATACTCTGTTTTGTTTTTTGAGGCAGGGTCTCACTCTGCAGCCTGTGTTGGCCTGGAACTCACTGTGTAGCCCAGACTGGCCTAGAATTCATGACAAGCCTGCCCAGCCTCAGCCTCTAGAGAGAGAAAACTTCATGTGTGTTCCACCATGCTTGGCTAACACCAAACATACTCTCTTTAAAGGATGGAGTGGGATGCTGCCACTACTGCTTCAAACCTCATCCTGTGTGGCGCTCCCCTCCGTCTCCTACTGTGAATCTCGTTTGCTAACAGTTCAAGTCATCCACTGATGCACATCAAAACAAGGACACATTTTCATCTCACGTTATTCACGTTGTCCGTTCTTTTCCAACTGTTAAGATGAAAAGGCAGGTACTGACATGGAGACAGTTGTGGTCCTCTTCCTACTCCAGACTCTTAAAAATGGTGGTGCCTGGCACACTCTTTCCGTGCCTCCCAGCTCAGCTTCCACTTCCTAGATGAAGCCTTTGTTCACCTCCAAAGATTTCTCACAGGGTTCAATCTTTTCTCATGCTGCTAAGTGCTCTTTGAAATTGCAGACTTGATGATTAGTTGATGGATGTCTCCAATTCCCAGTTTGGTACATAACCTCCATGGTAATAAGGTGCTCTGTTTGCTGAAGCTTTGCTCTGCATGCACCTAACAGGGTGCTGGAGAGGGCTAAAGGGGAAAGGAACATCAAGTAGGGACATGAACCTTGGAGATCCAACAAGACCGATGGAAAGGGGTCCTGCCTTGGCTTTGGGATCAGCTTTACAATTAATAAAATGGAGAGCCCTTAGCTAACAGAAAGGCTCATGGCCATCCTGTTCTGGAGGGAGGATGAAATTTCTAATTTCATAATTAGTGCCCCAAGGGCAAAACAAAGCAGAAGTTATTAGTTTAAGTCATATTTAGCACTAATGAGATGTGTTGAATTTGAATTGTTATAAAGCAGAGAGGGAAAATTTGAATCACTGCCCAAAGGCTCCATATTTCTCAACCCAGAGAATCTTAAGGTATCATGGAGACTGATGGACGCTTTCAAAGACAGGGCTGGAAACTGATGTTTGTTACCCATTCGGCAAATAGAACAACCCAGGTCTTATGAGTCACATCAGAGCTTCTGGGAGAGAGTTCTGGAAAGTGAGAGAAGACATTTACCTGACACATGTATGTGTCCCTTATATGGGCTGCCGCCAGAAGACGTGACCCTGTAGTCAAGGACAAAGAGCTTCCTTTTTCCATGTGCCTTATATTGGCTGCCACTAGAAGGGGTGACCCAGATTTAAGCTAGATCTTCCCACCCCAAATGATTGAATTGAGAAGAAAATCCCTCACAGGTGTATCTAGCTTCTTTGGTTTTAGTTCATTCCAGATGTAGTCGAATTGACAATCAAGGATAGCCATCACACTGGCTCACTAAAAGGAAGACAGAAAAGCTTATCATGCAGCACACACTTGTCATTCCAGCACTTGGGATGAAGGTAGACAGGACGGTCGAGAGTTCCAGGCCAGCCTTCAGCCATAGTGAGCTTGAGATGACCCCGGGCTGCAAGAGACTCTGTTCCAAACAAACAAACAAACAAAATCCAGCCACGGCTGTTGACTCAGCACAAGGGAATAAGATGCAAGAATGATAGTATGTGGGGATCACCAGGTGACAGACTGGGCTGCTGAAGCTGAAATGCAAGAAAGCCTGAGGCTGCGAGCCTTCTGTGTAAGGACACATCAGGGAGAAAGGAATCTACCAGAAGTCTCCAGAAGGGTGCCCGTCTTTTAGTCAGGTAGCTTCAGAAGCAAGCTAGCTCTAACAGGATCAGAAACAGGGGCTATATAAATTCCCTCCACTTATAAAATGTTTTAGTGTGTGTTTATGTGTGTACATTTGTGTGTGTGTGTGTATGAGGTCAGAGGACTACTTTTGAGAGTTCTGTCTCTACCAGGGATCTGATGCAGATCATAAGACTTGGTAACAAGCACCTCTACCTACTGAGCCATCTCACTGGCCGACTTTCCTTTTAAAGTCATTTTGTATTTTTCTCTGTTTTGTGTCTTGATTCTTAACGTGAAGGATAGGAAAAATGCATGTGGTACAGTGAGAAGACCCTGAAGGAGATAATGAGGCCATAGTGCTCACTTGGGTGAGCATTGCTGTAATGGCTGCACCTTACAACAGTTCTAATGGGCAGTTGCTACTTATTTCTCCTCCTGTTTTATAGATGAAAAAATTGGCATGTGATTCATCCCAGTCATGTATCAACTCGGTGGCAGACGGGGACTTGAGCCTGGGTCAAAGATCTGATATCTAGATTGATGAGATCTTTTTATAGTCAAACAATAAATATGTCGTATTTTCTGAAATAGAAATATTTCATCATCTCATAACTTTTTCATGAACACACACTTTACTGTTCAGAGAAACATGGCATGGTTTCTCTATCTCATTCTCTTCAACACTAGAGGATTGAACATGCCGTTGAACATGTGAGTGCTCTACCACAGAGCTGTATCCCCAGTTCCTTTGTAGTAGTTACTGTTTGTATTCTAGTCCAGCATTGAACCTGCTCTGCAGTCCTGGGGGGCCTTGAGCTTTCTGTCCTCCTGACCTGAGTAGCTGAGATATCAGGCTTGAGCTGCCAGGCCTGGCTGTTTTCTCTTAACAATTCAGTAAATTTTTCTCTAGATACGACCCAGAGATAATCTCAATCTCTCTCTCTCCCCCCCTCTCTCCCCTCTCTTCTCACCCCCGCCCTCCCCCCTCCCTCTCTCCTCCCTCCCACCCACCGCCCTCTTCTCTCTGTATGTCTTGGTGCTCAGACAGGGCTCTCATGTAACCCAGGCTGCCCTCACATTCCTGATCCTCTTGTTTCCACTTCCCAAGTACTGGTATCATTTTTCTTTTAGAAAAATATACCAGCTAGTATTTTGTAGGGAGAAGCCTGTACTTCCTCTTGAATATGCTCTAAAATCTTCCTCTCCCCCTCTTGCTTGCTTTCATCTCTGAATTCTTTCTTTGACAAGAACCTGGCAACACCAGGTATGATTTCAATCTCATCTCTGTTTCCGAGGTTTCTCGCGAACACCTGCAGCACAGTGGTGTAGAGAGGTAGGCACGAGGTAATAGACAAGAAAACTGAAAGAAAAAACTGGCGGTGGGAGCTGGGCGGTTGTGGTCTCTCAAGGCAATCCCAGTCCTTCGAGGAGGAGGCGCTGTTTGAGACCAGCCTCAGCTATAGAGAACTTGATTTTTTTCAAAAATCGCATTTTTAAAACATTTTGTTCCTTACCCGCTGGTAGCTGTTCTGAGCTAAAACTGGGTGCCCTTGAAATCCATATGTCCAAGCTCTAACCTAATCCCTAGTGTCTCAGAATATACCTTTATTATTGTTATTATGGACAATAATAACAGGGGCTTCTCTGTAGCTCAGCCTGGTTGTGAATACACGAGCCTCCTGACTGCTTCCCAAGTGCTGGAATTACAGGCTTGTGTCATCACACTCAACTCAGAATCAATCTCTCTCCCACCCCTTCTCAGCCTTCCACTCTTTTGTGTTTTTATTCATTTATTTATTGCTAGGAATGAATCCTGGGTTTGAAGCTAGGTATCTTTCTAATCCCATAGATAGGTAGATAGGTAGATAGATAGATAGATAGATAGACATAGACAGACAGATTTTTTTTTTTGAGTCAGAGTCTCGATAAATTTCCCAGGTTGGCCTAGGTCTTACAATTCTCCTGCCTCAGCCTCCTGTATAACTAGGATTACAGTTGTAAGCCACACAACTGGTCAGAATGTGCACTTGTAGCCCGTTGTGCTGCCCGTGTGAAATAGCCAAATTTCTACCCAACTCTACTGTTACTTCGAGGATGTCTATTGATTATAGGTTCCTGAGCAGGTGGGATTGCCAAAACCGGTTGCATCTAAGATAGCAGCCAGAGTGACACCCCCCCCCATTGTTTTAGTTATCTTTCTGTTGTTGTAAGGAAATATCATGACCAAAAGCAACATAAGGATGAGTTCATTTTAGCTTATGGCTCCAGGGACTGGATGTCCATAATGTCAAGGAAGACATGGCAGCAGGGGCAGAAAGCTAAGAGATTACATTTCTATCTCTCACAGGAAGCAGAGTGAGCAAACCAGAAGTGGGGAGATGCTATAGATCCTGCAAAGCCCACCCCAGTGAGGTGCTTCCTCCAGCAAGGCTGCACCTCCTGAAGGCTCTATAACCTCTCCAAATACCACCACCAGCTAGGGATCAAGTGTTCAAATACACGAAGCTCTCAGAGACAGTTTTTATTTAAATAACACCAGCTAGCTTCATTATAATCTCATCTGCATATTAAATGTCACTACAGCAGTTGACAGTTACCTGATGGTGACAAAAAGGAACCGTCAAAGCAGCAAAAAACAGTGGTGTCGGAATTTGGGGAAAATCTCCCATTCCCAGAAAAAAACATGAGTATTCTTCTCTTTCACGTTTTTCGTTGTATTTGACTTCCACAACCTCCAAGAACTGAGAAGGTGATTTGTGAATCTGTCTTCCAGATTATCCTGCTCTTTGACCAATAATAAGACAGATATAAGATGATAGATAGACAGACAGGAAGGAAGGAAGGGGCAGCAGTGGCAGTGGCAAGAAGCTCTGGTTTGAGTTTCATCTGCTGTGAGCAAAGCCCATCTCTCAGCACCCAGTGACTCTTACAGGTACAATGACACCATTTGATTCCAGTTTATCCAGCTGTTTGTCATTGTCTAGAACCATGGCTGTTTTAACGTGGTCCATTGGTATGACTGTTGGGCTAGGATGCAATCTTTTTCCATTATCATCTGGACTCACCCCTCTCAGCCTTAGCTCTCATAGCTCTCTACTGTAGGCAGAGACTGCTCGTTCTTTCCCAGCCTCCCAGACCCAAATCATCACACAGAAACTATATTGATTACAACACTGTTTGGTCAATGGCTCAAGCATATTTCTAGCTAGCTCTTATATCTTAAATTAATCCATATGTTACCCGAGGTTGTGACCTATGGGTAAGGTAAGGTTCCAGCGGGCGTCTTTCTCCTTTGGTAGGCCGCTATGTGGCCTATTCTTTCTCTGGATCTCTTCCAGCCTGGCTATATTCTGCCCTGCTGCAGTGACTGATAACTAACAGCTTTCAGTTTCAGACAAGGTTGAAGCTTGTCTAGATATTCTCTGATTACGGCAGCAATGGAGCAAAAGTGCTGGCCTGCATGCTTACACTTTAATTCCTGCCTATGGTTTGGCAATGCCCCTACCATGGGCTGGGGGCACTGGGCCACTTGATACGACCTTGACTGCCAGGAAGAGATGTGCTCCTCTATCAGTAAGCGGCAGTTCATGCAGACAGCGTTGCACATGAGCAAGGATGGAAGGATACAAGTTACAAAGACTTCTGCAGTGATGGTTGTTGGCTTCCTCTCCTAGAGACTAAAAAGGCAGCCCCTCGGTGGATCTTCTGCTTAGCGAGTTGTGGCCAAGGACTGGAGCTAAGGATTTGTGCAGATGTGGAAAACCAGACCTGCTCAGGTTTCCCCGGGAATTTTTTATACCCTACCTTCTGCTGTCTGGAAGAAGTCTGTTAAAACGTGTTTCTGTGAGATATGGGTCACTTGGCAGATGGTTACATATCACTGGCCCTGAGGAAGACTGGCAGAAGTTTTGTGTGCTCCTGTGAGTGGGCCTTGTGTATACCCAGCCCTTTTATGAGCCAAGTGCCCAGAACTTCAACAGTGTCATAGTTACTGGAGAAATTCTTCACACACTTATGATTATCGGCAAAATGAAAGCTTCTCGCTTGCTCATTTTAGTGACCTGTGACATAGTAACCCTCAATTCAAAGTTTTGATTTAAGGTAAGTGTATAACTGCCAAGTCCCTGTTTGCAAAGGAAGAGGTCATTTAAGTGTTCACATGACCTGTTTAGATCTAGTCTGGATCTAGTTTAAATCCTACAGAGGATGAGCCAGCAGGAGATGAGCGAACCTTGTTCTTTTGCCGTCCTAATTCCTTTTCTGGGTCAGGAAATGGCCTGTAAGTTTCCCTGCTTCATCATGCAGCTCCTTCCTATGAAAAGGGAACTTGGGCCCTGTGAACGGACTTCAGACTCCAAAACTTAAGTCCCACAGGTACTGTCTCCTATGGCTAGGAAAAACAATCCAGACTACATTTTTAAGAAAATTACTAAACCAACAAGATGGCTCAGCAGGTAAAGGTGCTTGCCACCAAGTCTGACGACTTGAGTTCAGTCCCCAGGATCCATAGGTGGAAGGAAAGAGTGGATTCTTGTAATTGTCCCCCAGCCTCCATACATGAACTGTGGCATGCACATGACTCCCACTCTCTACAAAATAAATACAAATTTTAAATGTAAAAGCAAACTGGCTGGGTATAGCCCATATATGCCTTTAATCCCAACACTAGGAAGGCAGAGACAGACAAATCTCTGTGAGTTCAAGGCTAGTTGGGTCTATGTAGTGAGGCTGTCTCAAAAAAGAAACAGTAAAAGAAAAAAAGAAAGAAAAATAACTTCAGTCTAGGTGATGGAGTGTACTGCAGTCTCAGCATTTGAAAGTAGAGATCCAAGGATCAGAAAAAAGGATCCTCCTAAAGTCTAGAGAGATGGCTCGTTTGTTAAAAGCACTGGCTGGTTTGGCAGAGGGCGCAGGTTTGGTTCCCAGCACCCACATAGTATCTTACAAACATCTATAACTCCAGTTCTAGGGGATCCAGAGCTATCTTCAGATCCCTTTAGGCACTGGTCATACACATGACACACATATAACATAGGCAAAACTCTCATACATGAGAAAAATTTTTTAAAAAGAGGAAGAAGCATAGCTAGGATGTAGCTTAGAGTCCTTGCCTAGAAAATGCAAGGCTGTGGATTCCATTACACACCCACACACAAAAGACTGTTGTGGTGCACACACACTTGTAATCCCAGTACCTCAGTACCTAGAGGCAGGAGGACCTGTAGTTCAAGGTTGTGCTTGGCTCTGTGGTGAGCGGGGCTCGAGAGACCTTGTCTCAGATCAGCCATACTTACAGAGAGATGCAAGGGAAGACGAGCCCGGAAGATAAACCAGTGCTGACAATGCCCCGTGTCTGTGGGGATGCCAGAAACAGGCAATCTCGTGAGCTAGCGCTGCCAGTGTAAGTACAGCCACCCCTTCAGTCGGGGCATTTAGCAATGTCTGTCAACACTGGGACACTTACGCTTGTGAGTCAGCAATTCTGCCACTGGGAGTTTGCTCAGGGAAAGCTGGCAAAATATGTCAAAACCGTATGCCTGGGTTTGTGTTTAAGCTTATTATTTATTTATTGAGTGTGTGTGTGTGTGCCTGTATGAGTTTGTGTGCAAGTAGATGTCTATAGGAGGTAAAAAGAGGGCGTCAGATCGCCGGGAACTGGAGTCCAGGAGGCTGTGCACTGCCTCATGTGGGCGATGGGGACTGAACTCAGGTCCTCTGTAGGAGCAGCGAACACACTCATCCTTGAGCCATCTCTCCAGCCCTGAAGAGATAAGTTTTGCTTCTGCTATTGTTGTTTGGTACTTTTCTAGAATGTTTGAATTTTTTAACTTACTTTTTGAGGCAGCATCTCACACTATTGCTCTCACACTAGACTGGAACTCACTCGGTAGCCCAGGCTGGACTTGGACTTGGGGCCCTCTTCCTACTGCTGCCTTTCCAGTGCTGGGATTGCGAGTATGAGCCCTGTGCCCGGTATATTTGGAGGAAACCATGAGCATGTTCATGTGTGCACATGCTATGGGCGTGCCCATGGAGGCCCCAGCAGGATGTTGGGCACCCTGCTCTGTAAGTTTCTCTTCTTCCTTCAGGACAGGTCCTGCCACTGAGCGCGGAGCTAGGCTGGCAAGCTCCAGTGACCCTCCTGTTTCCACCCTTCACAAACGTGGGGCTAAGGAGGGCACAGCCACGCCCAGCTTCTTACATGGGTGTTGCCATCTAACTCAGTTCCTCATGCTTGTACAGCAAGCGTTCTTACCCACTGAGCCATTTCTTCAGCTTGAAAAAAGGGGTTTATTTTGGTTCATAATATTTAAATATATATAGTATGGATATGTAAAACTATTTTAAAATAAATCTTTGGGGTCAGTGAGGTGGCTCAACAGGTAGAGAGGCTTCCTACTAAACCTACGCATCTGAGGTCACCCTAAGAGCCACGTGGTGGATGGAGAGAACTGACTCCATTTGCCCTCTGATGCCCACTGAGGGGTCATGCTATACATGCATTTTCACACACTCACAAATAAATAAATATCAGTAAAACAGATTTTTTGAAAGAAGCCAAGAGATAAGTGAGAGGAAGAGGAACTTTACATTAGAGAAACGATGGCTTCTGAGCCAGCTGATTGTTTTAGCGGTGTGAATGAAAGCAATGGTACATGGACACTTGGGTGTTCTGAAGAGCAGGCCAGTGGGAGGAGGAGGAAAGGGAGCATGAAAGACTAGAATCAGGGCCTGGTGACGTGAATGCAGCCTAGGTTCACACAACAGAAGAGAGTTGCCTACTGCCACAGGTTGTCCTATGAGTTGTATGTGTGCGCCATGGTGCACATGCATACACACAACAAACAGAAAAGGGAAAGGCAATGTTGTGCCCAGCTGGATGAAGATGAGAACCAGGGAATGAAGGAGGCCTCCCAGGAGGCAGGCAGCTGAGTGGAGGGTGAGCTGCCCATGTGAGCACCCAGAAGGAAGCAAGGGGTTAGTGAAGTTAAAGACTGGGAAAGGCTGGGGAAGAAGACAGTGAGTTTGGTCTTGGGGGTGATGGATTGAGGTTTGAACACACCGTGGGATTTGGAGCTATTGTGGACCACTTGTTCTCTGAGCACAACAAGGCCACTGTCCTTTTATCTTTGCAGCCCGCATTAACTCGGGACTTTCACAAGATTGGACCCATTAACTTCCCATCATGGAGGTGAGGCGAGAGACTCCCAAGACCCTTTCCTTCCCTGACAATAAATAGGCAGGTACCGGTTATGGGAGACAGAGACATTTTCTTCAGTGGTGCTCCTGCTGGGGACCTAGCCTTGTGTGAGTAACCCCAGTTAAACTCACTAGTTCACCACCTATTGAGTGGACTTTTCCACTGTCATTAGTTCCTTATCTGAGGGGAATGGTGCTTGTTGATCTTCCCAGGAATAAGTGCACACCAGGAACTCACAGAATTCTGGATTGGAAATGGGAAAAAAAATAAAAGAAAGAAAAGAATCCGATGTGGACCAGAGTGCTGCTGAAGACATCAGGAAAGACGGTAAGCTGGGCAGTGGTGGCGCACACCTTCAATCCCAGCACTCAGGGGCAGAGGTAGGCAGATCTCTGTAAGTTCAAGGCCAGCCTGGTCTACCAGAGCTAGTAGCAGGACAGATAGGGCTGTTACACAGAGAAACCCTGTCTCAGGGGGAGAAAAAGATGGTAGCAGAAAGCAAGTATAAGGAAAGCATGGAGATTAAAAGACTTTCTGTTCAAGGGAGATTCTGAAGTTAGCAGTTGGGTAGAGGATGAGGAAGTGGTCGTGGAACAGAGGGGAAAACCAGAAGGGAGTGGTCCCCAATGTCTGCTCTTGCAAATGCAGGGCCTGGTTATTTAAACTTTGCTTAAACCAGTGCCTCTTCTGCTTGGCCACACCTGCCCAATAAAATCTTAACTCTGAACATTGTCTCTTGTCTTGAAAAAGATCACTCAAATGGGGCAGAGTGGCACACATTGAAAGTTCAAGGCCAGTCTGGTCAATACAGTCAGTTCCAGCCCAACCCTGGCTTACATAGTGAAACCCATTGCCAAAAACAAAAAAATAGCCAGAAAGGAGCTAAGGATATAGAGTGCCTGCCTATCATACACAAAGCCCCGACACCATATAAACTGACCATGGGCCACACATGAATGTAATCCCAGTAGTGGGAGGTACAGGCAGGAGGATCACAGTTTAAGGCCACTGTCAACTATGTAGAGAGTTTGAGGCCTGCTTGAAATGCATGAGCCTTTTTTTTTTTAAAAAGCCACCCGCTCTCAGTGAGCAACACACACACACACACACACAGAGAGAGAGAGAGAGAGAGAGGGAGAGAGAGAGAGAGAGAGAGAGAGAGAGAGAGAGAGAGAGAGAGATTGACACTTTCCATGCTGCTGTTAGCTTATTTTTTTTTGAGGGCTTTTATTCCCTAGTTAATCTAAAAAATCAGGACAGCTAAAGCTGCCATCTCACTTCCATTCTCCTTGTGGCCAGTTTCTTCCTCTTAAAGAGGCCCTGTGGTGAATGCCTGAGACGGCTTAGTCCTATTCTGTCTACATGCTTGGACCCAGCTAGCTCTTACAACCCTCCAGGAGACTTGCCAGATCCAGGTTATCATGGAGCCCAGGATTTGTCCTTCTTTTAATGGTGCCACATGTATCTTGCATTTTCCTATTGTGGCATTAATAAGGTCATGCCACTGTCTCCTCCAGTAAGCTTGTTGTTACACATGTTTTCTTTCCTTTTCTGTTTAAAAAAATTTGGGGGCAAGAGTGCACATGCACACGCACAAGCAGGCACTGTATACCTTTGGGGGTCACAAGACAACTTGCAGGAGGGGCTTCTTTCCTTCCACTGTGTAGGTGCCATGGACTGAATTCAGGTCATCAGGCTTGGCAGCAAGCACCTTTACCAGCTAAGCCATCTTGCTTTTTTATTTTGAAATGGGATCTCTATGGAACTCACTATGTAGTTCATGCTGGCTTGAAACACTCAGAAATCATATTCAGCCTCCCAAGTGCTGGGAGTACAAACATACACTCATATGCCTAGTTCTGACTGGCTTTCAGATTAATGTGATGGTAGCTAGATTCACCTGTATTGTTGCATGCAATCATGAATAGTTAATTCCCAGTTCCCCATCCCATTGTATGAAGAGACCACAGTTCATTTATCCATTCATATATGATGATAAAAATTTGGCTATTTCCCTCTGAGACCTATTGTAATGAGAGATAGTAAAAATCCCCAAATCTGCCCGTTACAGAGGTAAACTGTAAAATGTGGAGAACAGCTATGGAGCAGGTTGCTTCTGGAGGCACTGTTTCATTAGCCTCTGCATGTCCAGCCTTTCACGGAGGCCCAGCAGAATGTATTTGTATGAGAAGATCAAGATCAAAGAATAATTTATCACTGTGTTTTCGAGTAGTAATATAATTGCCAAAATTTTGCATTTGTTCTTGGATATGACGTTTACAATACTTTGTGGGGACCCTGATAACACTATTGAGGACATCAATAGTGACATATCTGCTCAATGCCATGGATGGTGGGGGAACTGAAGGTGCTTGTCATGCTGATGAGAGCAAACCTGTATCAGATGTGGACCAGCTTGCTTTGATTGAGCTAGTCTGTGGGGAAGGCAGCTTTCGGGTCAACCATGATGCCAGTTTTTATAGCATTTTTCATGCACCAGGCCTGGCATGTGCTTTCGTTTTATTTTTGACATAGGGTCTCACTGTGAATCCCAGACTGGTCTGGAGCTCACTATGTAGCCCAGGCTGGCCTCGGCTCTAGGTAACCGTCACACCTTAGCTTCATTTGAATAATTGAACACCAGCTTCCTGACAAAGTCGACCATAAGACAGCAGCCTCCCAGATTTGGTTCCTTTCCCATCTTTACACCTCACCCAGTAGAACTAGCTTCTTTCTGGAGCCTGGCCTCTTCCAGGCCGCCATGGGCCTGTCAGTGTACACATCCCAGTGAGTCTCGGTCAGGACTTACTTCAGCCCTCTCTGCATGCTTGAAGCCTGCCACTCTCCCTGTGGCTCTGTCTGCTGCTCTCTCTGTTCAGTGACTTGGAACAAGGAAAGGAAGGGAAGGCTAGATAGCATGGCGGGGGCTGTGGCACAGCGGATGTGGCCAAGAGCCCTTTGGGTTTATCCTGGTTTGTGTTTTGTTTTAGTTTGTGTCTGTTTGCATGTGTTTGGGTGTGCTTGTGAGTGCAGGTGTCCATGCATGTATGTGTGACTTCACATGGAGGTTGGACAGCAGCGTGGGTGCTCAGGACACTGTCCACCCTTCTGAGGTAGGGTCCCTCACTGCTCTGGAACTGGCTACGTCGGCTGGCTGGCTACTAAACCCCAGAGACCTGCCTATTTCTGTGTCTCCAGCACAGGAACGGCAAGCATATACCTCTCCTGGCTTATGTTTTTTAATGTGGTTCTGGGTCCCCAACCCCAGATCTCCTTGCTCATTGTGTTCTCTCTCTAATGCATGCTATTGATGTTTTAGTCTTTTGAAACAGGCCCTCATGTAGCCTAGGCTGACTTTGAACTCTATGCAGACGGATTTTGAACTCCAGATCTCCTGCCTCCCCCTCTCCTGTGCTGAGATCAAAGGCTTATAGCACCACACCTAGTTCCTTTCAGGCCAGTCTGAGGCAGGAGCAGCGGGAAGTGCCCAGTGCAAGATAAGAGAAGACATCCTTCTCTAGATGTATCTGTCCAGTTTGTTACATCAGGCCTTACAAAGAAGAAAAACACAGACAAATAAATCTGGGTTACTGTATGAAAAAAATATGTGTTTGTTAGGAGAAACAAAATGCTTGTCCTTGCAGGGTGCACTGTGCCTCTGGTCCAGGGATAAGATATTTTATCTTCCCATTGGCGCCTGAGACCTAAGCTGGGTGGCAAGATCCCAAAAAGAAGCACTGACCAGAGCCAGACAAACTGGCTGTACAGAGCTGGGCCGCTACCTCCCACCCTGTCTGCCCACTCCTTCCAGAACCATGCTTTCCCTCCCTGCTCTTTCTTCGGAGTCCTCTAATTGAATTTTTAATTTCTGGGCAGGGTCATGAGGGAATCTAAGGTTGCCAGAGCATGGTGCCATAGGGCAGGCAGATCCACGCCTCACTCTGTCTTCCCCGAGCTGCAGCTCAGGTCCTTGTTTTCTTTCCTTTTACCAGACCAATCCAGACACATGTTAACCGTGTTAACCCGATAGATATCAGTAGGCCTGACCTTTCTCTCCAGGCCCTCCAGTCACCCTGACTCCCCAGCTGTGCCTCACTTGTGCTTAAACTGGATTAGCACTCAATGCTGTAGGCACCAGGGCCCTGCACTTGGACTTGCTGGAAATCAGAGCAGAAATTACCTTATTTGACATTAAGCATTTTCCACTTGAGGGATAAGATCCCCCAGGGAAATCCACCGGGGCTTATACATACATGACTTTAAATTGGATTTTAAAAATAGCCTGCCAGCTGTTTGCTAGGTCATGCTTGGGTTCTTGGCCTCGATTGCTGCTGTGTCCATTTGGGGATCAGGGGCTGCCAAGACTGCAGGGCTCTAGATGCCTGGGGACTGTCCCAGGAGCCCTGGCAGTTGTTGCCATGAAACCCTCAGATCCTGGCACCGAGGTCTACGAGTCATGCAGAGAAAATAACCACATCATTTAAACCATGTCCCCCAGAGTGCACCGCAGCCCTGGGCTGCCTCTGCTCACACCGAGTCTGAAAGAAGAGAAAGCAAATGGAGGACCAAGAGTGGTCTTCACACTTTTTGAGGAATTTTTTTCTCTCTCAAAGTTTTATATCAATTTACTTAGTAATGGGTCTCATTAAGGCATTTTCATATGTGAATAAAATGTATTTTGATCACACGAGCCCCTTTACTCCTTCTCTATGCCCTTCCCATGCCCACTGATCTTCCTCTTCTCAGCTAGTCTTCTGCTCTCGCGGTTTTTGTGATGTGTGCGTGTGCACATGTGTCCCAGTGAGTTTCATTAAAGCTACGGATGGGGCATGGGTAAGTGATTGTTCTTAGGAAGGAACATGGACAACTTACCAGTTGCTACTCACTGAAAAAAAATGTCTCTCCCTCACCCTATTAACTATTAAGGATGGGTGGAACTTGGTGCGCTTCTCTTCGCTTCATGAGGGATTATAGATGGGCCTGAGTTAGTGCTTGCCCTGTGTCAGCAACCACGTTTGCTGAGAGTTCACAAATGCAGTAGCCATGGCCACACACTGGGGATAGTGTTCAGAAAGTCAGCCTCTTCCTCTGCCTCCTCAGTTCTTTCTGCCATGCTCTGTGTAGCATTTCCTAAGCCAAAGAAGGAGGTGATAGAAACCCCCAACTTATGGCTGAGCATTCAGCTCACTGAGTCCAGCACGGTGACCAGTTATTCATCTCTGCATTAGCAGCTGCCCATTGCAAAATGAAGCTTATTATAAGTCTCCATGTCATTTGTGAGCTGACTGGTGGGACAGAAAAAAAGATTCACTACATATAGTACCCAACTCTGGCCACGTATATTCACGTAAGGCCTAAAAAGGCTTAAAAGAAAAGTTCGGGACATGAATCTGACACAGCTTCCTGGTGACTGTGGTCTCTCGGGTAGGCTTGGTGTATGGAGACTGCCCTGCCTGCTGGAGCCAGCCGCCAGCACCATGTGCCAGCGCCGTGCACTAAGCCAAGCCATGCCAGCAGCTGACATAGCAGTTTAAGATTTGTCTCACTTGCTCAGAGAATGCTGCAGAGGCTCAGTAAAGACAGAGCCAGATGGGAAAAAACCCTCTAAACAGGTTACAGTGTGTTTTAAAAAAAATGTAGGCTTAAAAGAGAAAATGGGTCTAGATTGTCATAGAAAAAAAAGTAGTTTATATCATGACAAGTTCCAGGACAACCTGAGCTACAAGAGACCCTGTTTAAAAACAAAACAAAACAAACACCCAACACCACCACCAAAATATATATATAGCATAGCACAATGTATAGCTAACCCTGTGGTGCAGGCCTGTAACCCTAGCCAGTGAGGCAAGAAGGTCTCAAGTTCAAGTCCTGTTTTAACTACAGAGCCAAGCCTGAGCACGCTGTTGAAACCTCATCTCAATAAATAAGTAAATAAGTACATGGAGGTCTAGAGTTAAGATTCGTGGAAGAGCACCTACCTAGATGTTAATCCCCAGTGAAGAAAAAGCAGGGGGATATGGGAAGAAACCGCCCCCATTAAGGCTGTTGTGAGCTGAGGAGCAAATGAGTTAGTGCGGACTGTATGGACCACGGTAAAGTGTTCAGTAGCTGTGCATCCACCCTGCTGCTCTCCAGGCTTGACTGCCTGAGCCGTTCTGTGCTCCTCTAGCTCGGTCTTTGTTTATCTTATGGTCTTCTTTGTTTATCTTTATGGCTTAATGATCGCTTCCTCCATCAGACCAGGAACTTCCAAGTCTTTACAACCTAAACCATTCCTGCCTCTCAAACACTCAAGAAATGTTTGTGCCTACCATAAGAAATGAACTATCTGAAAGAAGAAATCCTAAAACCCAGCTGGGATCCAGAAAACAGACTCCCAGGCCCGCAGGTCAGTTTCTCCTTCATCTGTGTTTGCTCAGTCTGTAAACTTGGCCTTTTCATGTGGTTGGTCTGACTGTTAAACAGAGAGAGACTGATGAGTTTGGAGTTCCGGGATCATGAGGATAAAGCTTTATAATCAAGCCTTTTGCAGGGGACCTCTGTCCCTATCAAGTTTTTCAAATTGTAATTCAATATTAAATGTTTGCTAAAGGGGCTATGAGGTGGATCAGAGGGGAGAGGCACTTGCAGCCAAGCCTGGTCGTCTGAATTTGATCCCTGGGACACACAAGGTGAGAGAAGAGAACAGACTCCTGCAAGCTGTCCTCCGATCCTCTCAGTAGAATGTGGTGCATATAAATAGTGTTTATACCAGCAACAACACAAACCCGTATAGGAAACCTACTTTTTTATGTTTCCTCTCATTTGCTGTACTACCAAACTCATCTGTTTCCACAGAATAAAGTATAAACCTGCCTGCCAAAGCGTGCAAGCCTTTTCCCCCCGAGTCATTTGACCCTTTACGCCCCCACAGCAGCCTGTACAAACACTTGTCACAGAAGCATTTGCCCAGTGCAAGACCCTCAGAGTCAGCCACAGAGTGAGTTTGAAATCCCCACTCAGAGACATGGCTCTCCTTTAGTCTAGCAGGATGGCTAAGTACATAGGCCTTGCTGCCAGGCCTAACAATCTGCATTTTATTCCCAGGAATAAAAGAAGGAGATAACCAATTCTTGTAAGTTGTCCTTTGACCTTTGTACACTGTAAATGTGAGTGCATGCACAAACACACATAGATACACAGATAATAAATAGCTGCAATTAAAAAAAACCCGAGTCCCTGTCTTCATTACCATCTACTGTCTGCATCCACTGTCCTGTCTTCTCCAATAAACTCCCAACACTAAGGTTCTCAGACACAGCTGGCCTATGTCAGACCTTGCAACTTTGATTTGGGCCTCTCTCTTGCCTGGAACCCCAGTTTCCCATTTTCAAGCCCCACCCACACGTTTTCCGAGGTTTACCTCTAAACCTTCAGACCTTTGACTGTCTCTTCTCAACTTCTCTTCTGACCCAGAGTATAAAGCTAGACTGCTGGGTGGGCTTTAGACCCTATAGGTCAGGAATAATGGCACCGACTTGCAACACACAGGGCCTCCACACGCTCTGCCCAATAACTACTGTTCTAGGGCACAGTGATAAACATTGTGGTGGAAAACAACAGAATAAGTTTCTCATTCTCTGTTTCATATTAAGCATTCCTTCCTGACCCTCACCCTGATAACAACAACAACAAAAATATCTGCTAAAAGACAGATCAGTCCAATTGCTTTATCTTGTCAAGCAAGGAAACAGAAGTCTAAAGAACAGGGAAGCTGAAAAACAAACTAATACATTCTTTTAATGGCTCAGATGGCCTAGGAAAGATAAACAAGCAGCTGGACCTGAGACAAAAGGTCAGCGGCTGTTGAGGGAAGCAGGCCAGGTGCCTCTGAGGCTCAGCAGGCCAAAGCCTGGACTGGGGTGAGTTGTGGAAGGAAAGTTGATCAGCCAGAGTCTCAAGCCAAAGCCCTAGACCCGGCCCTGAAACACCAGTCGAACAAGAGTCGGCGTATTCAAATCCAGATGTGGTGACACACATCTGTAATCCCAGTAGTCAGGATGCCAAGGCAGGAGGTTTGGGCATAATGGTGCATGCCTGTAGTTCCAGTCTTTAAAAGGTGGAGGCAAGAGAATCAGGAGTTCAAAACCAGCCTTGACTGTATGAGACAATGGGTCACAACAACAAAAATCATAAAAAGTCAGACATGGTGGCCCAGAAACCTGCCTGCCTCTGCCTTCTGAGTGCTGGAATTAAAGACATGATCCATGGTGGGTTGTTTTTAATTGTTATTTGTTCTGTGGTATTGGGGACTGCATCCAGAGCTCCATGTATACCAGGCAAAAGCTCTACCACCCAGCTACAGTCCTTGCCCTGCCACTGAGTGGCTTTTTTAAATCAGGGTTTCTTTCTTAGGCTGGCCTCAGTATGTAGCCTAAGTTGTCTCTGAACTTGGTTTTGTACTTGTGGAGTTTTGGGGTTTTTGTTTTGTTTTGTTTTGTTTTTCTCCCAACAGTGAATATATTTACTAAGGAAATGTGAAAAAGAACTTCTGAGATTGATAGGGGCTCCAGGGCAGGAACAATGTGTTGTTGTTACTGTTGCTCTGAGTTTTAGAGAAAGGTTTATTATATATTCATAGGTGGGAGCTTAAGAGGGAAGGAGAGTCACACTGTTGAGTTAGGCTTGAAGTCAGTCATGAGGCGGAAAGGGGAGCTTTAGAAAAAGTGAAAAAGCCCAAAGTACTGGAAAAAGCATACTTCGACTCAGGCCACCATCCAAAAGAAAGGCAGAAAGGCCTTCTCTAGGGTTTTTCATTTTTGTTGTTGTTTTATTTTGTTTTTGAGACCGAGACTCACTGAATTGCTCTGGCTGGCCTGGAACTCACTATTTATCAATAGGTTAGGTGAAGAGATTAGTCTCCAAGTGCTCAGGAACAGGCCTGTGCCACCACATCAGACTCATTCTGGGCTTTTATGAGGCAGGGCTTCAATATATCTCCCTGGTTGGCCAAGCGCTTGCTCTGTAAGTGAGTCTGGTCCAGGACTTTCAGTGGCCCTCTTCCTCTTCCCTGAAGGACTTCAGGACATGTGCTACCATGCCTGGCTCACAGAAGTGTTTGGGAGGATAAATAAAGTTCATTGAAGAGAAGCCGGGGCTAGGAAGGTGTTCATTTGGTACAGTGACTGTCTAGTATGTATGCAGACTTGGGTTTGGTTTCCAGCTCTGTAACCCAGGAATAGTGGTATATGCTCATAATCCTAGCACTCTGAAGTGGAAGCAGGAAGATCAGAAATTCAAGATCACCTTCCATTACACAGCAAGTCCACAAAGGGTGAAAAGAACAAACATTATCCTAGGAAGGACTTCTCTGTGAAGAAACACTCAGCTCAAGACCTACATGGATTGATGGCTCTCAAAGAGTTTGAGAGTTTGGGATGTGTTTCCTTGCATTTCCTTATTTCATTCTCCCCATGTCGGCAAATCCCGTCTTTATAAAACTCCCCTTTCACCTCGCCCTAGGCAACCCGACCAGCTTCTGCCTTCTTAGGACTCCTCGTTCCCTTCACATGGTCAGTCTCCTCGCTACTTTATTACTGAGCCAGTCCCCCAGCAAGAACTGGCTTTAAAATTTTTTAGCACACATTTATTTATTCAGTGTGTGTGTGTGTGTGTGTGTGTGTGCATGTGTGTGTCATGGTGGGCACAGAGGTCAGGGGACAACTGTGAGAGTTTGTACTCTCTCTCCACCATATGGGTCTCTAGGGACTAAACTCAGGTCTTCATGTTTGGTGACAGGTACCTTTACATGCTGATCTCATCTTCAAAGTGGAGATAAAAATGCCATTGGGTGTTACGGCTATAGTGCCTATAAGACATGACCAGGGTCCCCTGACTCATTAAGTGACAGTATCTGTCAGGATCGTGTCAAGAAACAGAAGGTCCACTCTGGTCTGATCATTTCAGCAAAATTCAACGTGAGAATGTGACCGAAAGGTCAGGGTGCGGCAACTGTAGGGCTAGTTTTGAGGCTCCATGAGGTCTGCATGGGAGATGGGGAGGCTGTTGAAGATACTGGAACCCAGAAAACGACAGTGGGACACCATCCAGGTCAGAGAATGGAGAGAACTGAGTCCAATTCCTCTTGCCTTTTCCCCACTGGCTCTGGAGAGATCCCCTTTGGCCTCTTTGGATGTCAAATATTAAGAGGTTATGTCGAAGTCCATGTATGGGTCAGCCTCCTGGGGTGCAAAACAAGGGACAGAAGTAAAAAGTGGCTTGGAGGTGAAGTCAAGATGCAGAAGTAGAATGTACAGAGGTATATCTTCGCTTAAACCTTCAAGTTCTTAAAGCGAAATAATAACAAACAGAAATAAAGATTATTATATGAAGCAATGGTTATATGCATTAAATATAATAATTTGTCAACCATTCCACAATAATTACATCAATTATTAATAACAAAACCACCCTTGACAACCTCAGACTTCTGATCCCTGCTTGCTTTCCACCACACTATAACTTAGACATAGTCCAAGCGTAGAATTCTAGAGGAAGTTCCCTGAGAGATTACCCATAGACCCTCAGTATCCCGCAGCATTACATTTTAAGTTAGTTTCCTTAAAAAGGTTAGTGTGCATATTAGTTTCTACAAATAGTAGGCAAGCAATCCCCTGGAAACTGCAATCAGAATGAGTCCAGGTAGCTGGATGGTGGACTGGGTCAAGATGGTGGGGTCAGGAGGTCAAGAAAGCTTTCTCTGCAGGCATTGCTGGTCCACAGCCCTCGCCTTTGTCAAAGGTGCCCTGCAGTCTTTAAGGCAGCTACACTGGGCACTAGCCACTGGCTGTCAGAGCTGAGGAAAGAAAAGCCAATCCTTTTACTACCTACCGCACCTGCCAGCTGAAGAACCCCAGGAGAGCTACCTCGCACCATTGGCTCCTAAGATGGTGCAATTAACACTTGGCTGCACTGCCTTTCTCCGAAACGCCCCTGGCATGAGGCTCTGGGTTTTATGGTGGCATGAGACTCTGGGTTTTATGAGGGGAAACATCTTCGGGGCAGAACCTTCTACCTTGGATGAGGTTTTTATTTACCTTTCTCCTCAGTTCTCTGGGGGCAAAAGTCATAAAAGAGTTCCATGGCAGTGACCTCTTCCAGACCCTGGAGCTTAGAGGGTAGGGTAATGAGAACTGCAGGAACCTAGTGTTCTCAGAGAGCACGTCATAGAGAAAGAATTCGCAGTTCCTGTCCTGGCAGAATCGATTCCAGAGAAATGAAGTGATGGTCACATGCAGCTCTCAGGGGGGCTGGGTGCTCCTGTTCCTGAAAGAAATGTCACTGGAGTCTACACACAGTAGCCTAAGGAAACAGGAAAAGAAAAGGAGAAAAAAGAGAAAAGAAAAGCAATAAGATTGACTCTCTTATGTGTATGAATGTCTTGCCTGGATGTGTGTATGTATGTATCCCACATGTGGGCCTGGTGCTCGCAGAGGTCAAAGGAGGGCATTGGATTCCCTGGAACTGGCGCTACCGATGGTTGTGAGCCACCGTGTCGGTGCTGGAATCAAACCCAGGTCTTCCGCAAGAGCAGCAGCCAGTGCTCTGAACTGCCGCTCCATCTCCCTAGTCCTGTGGCTGCACTTGAATTTTTTTTTTTTTTGCCCTGGCAATGCTGAAGCATGCATGGCTGCCCGTATATGACGGTTCTGTTGAAGTTGTCCGTATTGGGTTTCATGGTCTAAGTTGATGAGGATGACTGACCAGGTCCTAAGTGGCTGCACTTAGGAGACTAATAAAGCTAAACTCTTTCTCCCATATCTCAACCAAATATTATCCTATGCACGGTGTATGCCTTCCCACTGCAGGTGAGGGTGTTCCCCTACTACTCTATTCATAAGCTATTTCTCTGGCACTATTAAAATTGATTATAATTATAAAGAATTGTAAAGCTAAACCAATGATTTCTCATAAAATTACTTCAGACAAGATGTTCCTGCCTCAGAACTTTTGCATTTGCTGATCTGTTTGTTATTTATTTTAGAGATATTTTAATTATATTTTGTGTGCATGGGTGTGTGTGTGTGTGTGTGTGTGTGTGTATGTGTGTGTGCGTATGTGTGTGTATACACAACTTACAGGAGTCGGTTCTCTCCTTCCACCATGTGGGTCCTGGGGATTGAACTCAGGTCATCAGACTTGGCAGCAGGCACCTTTACCTGCTGCATCATCCCACTGGTCTTTGTTCATTTATTTACTTATTTAATGTATGTATGTGGATGCCTGACATGTGCACCATGTATGTGCAGGAACCTAGAGAATTCAGAAGAGGCACGGAATCTCTTGGAAGTGGAGCTAGAGGCAGTTGTGAGCTGTCTTGTGGGTGTTGGGAGCCAACCCTTTGCCAGAGTAGTAAGTGATCTTCAGCCACTGAGCCACGTTTTCAGTTCCCTTCTTTGTGCCTTTTAAATTTTTTAGATATATTTATTTTTTTTATTTTATGTGCATGAATGTTTTGCCTGTGTGCGTATCTATGCACCATGTATATGCCTGGTGCCCAAAGAGGCCAGAATAGGGTATCAAATCCCCAGAAACTGGAGTTACAGATGTTTGTGATAGGAGTTTGAGGAATTGAATCAGGGCCCTCTGGAAGAGCAATGGGTGCTCTTAACTGCCGACCATCTCTCCAATCTCTCCCACCCTTGTTTTTGGTTTTTCCATTCAAGGTTTCGTGTGTACCCTTGGCCTTGAATTCCATGCACTCGGCTTTGCTGTTGTTTCTGTTTAGTTCTGGGGACTGAACTCAGAGCCTGTGCATGCTAGCTGAGTGGTCCACCTTCTTTCTTTACTTACGGCTTAGTTTCCCGGTTGGTTTTCAGGCCAGCTTCCAGCTCTCTATGTAGCTGAGATGAGTTCCTGATCTTGCCTTAGCCCTCGGAGTACTGGGACTTCAGGAGTGAGCCACTCCTACTGACTTATTTTTATTATAGTAAAATATACATGACATAGAATTAACCATTGTTACTTTCCTCTTCCCTCTCAGGGTGGTTGTTACTGTTTTCCAGTACTGGTCATCAAACCTGCGGCCTCCTGCATGCTAGGCAAGCATACCCCACTAAGCTGTCTTCCCGGCTCCGTTACATTAAGTGCATGCACACGCTAGCTAACACGGCCACTCCTGGCAGCATCTCCAGAGCTTTTCCGTCTTCTCAGCTGAAACTGTGTCTTTTAAGGACTAAGCACTTTTAAAACCACCCCTCCCGGCCCCTCCAGTCCTCATACTACTTCCTGCTTCCGTGGTTTCTTTTTCTGGCCCTGGGGATTAAATCTTAGGTTCTCAGCCATGATAAGCAAGTTCTCTACCACTGAGCCATGCCCTCAGTTCCTTTAAAAACAAACAAACTTATTTTTATTTTGAGCCGGGTCTCCCAAGCTCAAGGGTTAGTCTTGAGATTACACTGTAACTCAGGCAGGCCTTGAACTGTCATCCCCTAATAGCTGGATTGTGTGCAGATCTGTGCCGACAGGCTCAGCCTGTCTCTATAATCTGGACTCTACTGGGTACCTCAAGCCACTGGAATCGTGCAGCCTTTGTGTTCTAGAGTCTGGTTTATTTCACTCATCATAAGGGCTTCAAGAGCTAACACACACTGTGGCATGTGTGAGAGTTCATTCCTTTTCAAAACTCCATAGTATTTATTCGTATGTTTAGTCCACATTTACTTGTCCACCTGACAGTGGACGTCTGAGTTGATTCTATCTGTTGGCTATTGTGAATGATACCACCATGAGTACCAGTGTTCAGTTCTTTCTCTTTAAGCCCCTGCTCTCAAATCTATGCTCTGTCCTACAAGTAGAATCGCTGGATCGAGCCAGGTATTCTGAGGCCTGCCTGCTGTTCTAGTACTTGAGAGATGAGGCAGGGGAATCTGGAGTTCAAGGTCATCCTTACCCACATAGTAAGTTTGAGAGCTACCTGGCCTACCCTGAGACCCTGACTCAAAAACCAAACAGGAGAACAGTAGTAAGCTAATGGTTACTTCGAGGAGGGAGAGACATTTTCTTCAGTGTTGTAACCACTGGTAAGTTGTCCATACTTCTGTAAATAATCCAACTGCAACTCATTGGGATGCACGTGCGTGCTTGTGCGCACAACACACACATACATACACACAAATGCACACATATACATATGCATACACACACATACACACATATACACATATACACACCTACACATACACCTATACACACACCTACACACCTATACACATACATACATACACACATACACACATACACATATACACATGCACTCACACATACACAAGAATACATAAAAATAAAAGGGGAACTCACTGGGAAGGAGGGGATCAGAGGGAGTGGGAGGAAAGCAAGGGAGAAGAATAAGGGTGAATATGATCCAAATACATTTTATACTGCTGAGCCAGTGCAGCCTGGACGCCGAAACTGGGGGTGGGGGGCGGGGTGCCTGGATTGAGACACGAAGGCTTCTTTTCAGGTGGAAGAACAGCAACTTTTATTTTGCCCCGAGCTAAAGCCTTTTATACCTTTACTGCTTCTGTAGAAAACCACTGGCCAGAAAGAACACAAACATCCTTGTCAATTACAGACCGCAAGGAAGTTCCGCTGACAGGGAGTGTGAGGACAGCTGGATCACAACAATATACATGTATGAAAATGTCATCGTGAGACTTATTATAATATGAACTTAATATATGCTAACATAAAAAAACTGGATCAAATGGCAATTTTTAAAATCCAGGATCTTGTACTGGTTAAGTTAGGTGTATCTACTGTTGCCAAACTCAAGTCCAGTTACCTGTTGCATGACTGGCCAGTCCGAGCTGGGAAAACAGGTGTTGAGGCCAGGTGGGTGGTTCTGTTGGGAGAGTCAGCTCGATGAGATGATGGAGGACACTTGTCCAAAGTCTATCCTGACAGAAGGTTGAATTAGGAGTGGTTTATAAAAAGTGGTCCCGGCTGGGAGACGGCTCAACAGCTAAGAGCTCTTGTTGCCTTTGCAGAGGACCTGGTTTCAATTCCCAGCACCCACACAGTGTCTCACAACCATCTGTGACTTCAATTTCAGGGGCTCTGAAACCCTATTCCGGTCTCCTTGAGCACCAGGCACACACATGGTGCATAGACATACATGTAGACAAACACCCCCCCCCACACACACACATACATAAATTGTAAAGAATAAAGGCGAATGGTTGCCGGGTGTCCTCGGGCTCCTGGTGGGGAAGGCTGGTTGCCGTGCCTATTCACATGGGTGAACCTGAGCAGACATGTGCTGTCCTATGACTGCTCACAAGATCCTTTTCCGTTCTGCAGACCCCGAGAACAAAGACCATTATTTCTTCGTGCTATCCTTGTCATCAGTTGCTTCCTCCTGTGAGGTTTCTGAGTTCCTGACGTATTACATAATGCACTATCCAACTGGGGCAGCCTCCTTGAGGCCCTCCTGATTGCCAAACTCAGGTTACTGAAAGAAAACCTAAAATGCATAGTTTCACTACCACTGAGTCATGTTCCTTTCCTAAAAACTGTCATTCTACTTTTTATTTCCTTCTATGTGTATAAGCCTGCATGTCTATATGTATACTGTGTGTATACAAGTGCCTCTAGAGGCCAGAAAAGAACACCAGATTTCCTGAAACTGGAGTTCCTGGGAACTGTAGACCACTGATGTGGATGCTGGGAGCTGAACCTGAATCCTCTTTAAGAGCAACAAGTGTTTCTAACTACTGAGCCATCTCTCTAGTCCTCTCAAATGGTAATTCTAATGTTCAGTTTTCGGAGACTGCCATGTTGGGGCTGCGTTGTTTTACCTTCCCATCGACCCCTCTAATCTACTGTTGCGAATATATTAGTTTATTTAGTGACTTCTCCACCCGCACTTGGATGGCAGCTCCACGAGGGTGGGGATTCACTTCTGAATACTTGAAAGTTTGCTCGCGGTAACCAGATCAGTAAGGATTTGTTAAATGAATGAGCTGGCTCCGTACTTCTGACCTCAGTTTTGCATCATCCTGAACCTTCAAGCCTAGCTTAATACCCGCGTAGCTTTCCTTGGTCCCTATCACGAGAACCATCTTGCAAGGCTTGCTCCTTTATGCTTTGCAGTCTGGGTGTCTGCGAGCTTGAAAGCATCTCTGAGTACTAACTTCCTTAACACTGGAAGCTTTCAAAGTGTGTGTGTGTGTGTGTGTGTGTGTGTGTGTGTGTGTGTGTGTTTTAGTAGACTATATGAGCAGGTCAAAGAATAACTTTGGGAAATATGTTCTCTCCTTCTATCTCATTTAGATTTATTTTGTTTTAAATTGTGTGTCTACTTGTAGGTATGTGTATGTGTGAACACAGGTATCAGAGTCCAGAAGAGGCCTTCAAAGCCTGGA